CGTCACAAGGGATAAAGCTCTTTGTCCTACAATACAGGCTTTTACTTAAAAGGAAAACCCAAGGTCCATTCAAAACTAGAGCCCAATAATAAGCTCTCATTATAGTACCTGCCCCTGGAGTTACATTGTATCGCTCTTTACAAGCCTAGCATGTAAAGCAAAATTTTATTGTTTGCTTTTTTCATTTGTTCGGGTTGTGCCATCTGGAAAAATAGGAATTGCTTAATGTAGTAAATGATTTTAATTCAGTTATAGGAATTATCAATTTAGCAGTGTAATTTAATAGAATTAAATATGTAGAAAATTCGTCACCTTTTTGGATCACCTCTGTAGAATCAGATCTTGTAATCAAATTTCGATCTAAGATTAATTATGTTTTAGATAAGCCAGTCTTGATTCCCAGAATTAATAAACCAATAGCATTTAGAAGCTATTTTCTAAAGGAGAGCACTGCTCTTTGATGGATTACATAGCAAGAGGTCAATGAAGACTGAAAGAACTTGGTTGGAATTCAAATGTATTGTCTCTCCAGTTTGCTTCTGAACTGGTTCTTACACATTCTTAGATTTCTCTCCTTTTGGATACAGTCAGCTCATCAATGCACCTTTTTCTCTTGATCATTTTGTCCTGTTTTTTTTTTTTTCCTTCGCTATTCATTAAACATTTTTTTGAATACTCTCTTAGTGCCAAGCTCTATGTTGGGCATTATAGGCAAAGTGATAAAAGTACTCATGGAGCTCTTAATTTAGAAAGAAAGACAAATGAGAAAAATGTTATAATCCATAACGATCAGAGCTGTGAGAGTAGGAAGTTCACAGGGCTGTGTACATGAGAGAATAGGTGTCCAGAGCTCTTTTGGGTCAGAATATGCCTTTAGTAAAGGATTACCACTCTAATTCATAAAGAAGTAAGATGTCATTTCTATCTATTAATTAATTATCCATAGGGTCAGTGGAAGATGAGAAGAGAATGGTCTTCATACATGTTCCTTCTTCTGACTAGGAAACTTCCCTGACTAAATTCTCTTCATCTCTTAGGTCTCACTTTATTAACTCTCTCAGGAAGTCTTCCCTGACCACTTCTTTCTCAAGTCTAGATTAGGGACAGTTTCCTTATGTGCTGCAACATCACCTTGAACTTACCTCTGAGGTAATTGTAATGGGATTGAACCCGATTATGCCTGATGACTGATAAATCTATCATCTCGTTAGGTCACACGTGATGGTGTCCCCTAAGGTGTGGCAAATTCTTCTATGCCGTGCATTCTTTATTGTTGTTTTATAATGGAATACTGAGTGGATACAAAATATTTAAATATACACAAATATAAGAAATAGAAACAACTCCCATTTAGCCACCTCCCATTTTAACAAAAGAACTCTACCTTACTTTTGCCATTTTTGTGTCTCAGGCACATTTCATCTTGCCTATTTTTCTTCCTATTCAGGAGGATCGTGTTGCTAAATTTGTTTTATCACTGCCTTGCTTCTTTTTATAGTTTCCTACATATATTAGCTCCTTAAATTTATTTCTTCATTAAACATTATGCTCCTGAATTCATCCAATTGTTGCATATAACTGTAATTTATTAATTTTTCTCAAATACATAGTATTATGTTATGTAAAGATATCAGAATTTATCATTTTTACTAATAATGGGCATTTAGTTAGTTTCTACGAATGGGTTTTTTGTTTACTTGTTTATTTGTTTTTTGGTATTTACAAACTACCATCTATTGATTACGCGTAAGAATTTTTTAAAAATATGTATCAAAGAGTAAAATTGTTCATCTTAATAGAAAATGTTAAGTTTTTTTTCCAAGCGTTACACCCATTAATACTCCCACTATCAGTGCATAAGTGTTTCAGGTATTCCACAGCCTCGCCAATGCTTGAGAAAGTCAAACTGTTTTTCCTAATTGATAGAAATGAAAATATATCTCATTTTGGATTTGAATTGCATTTCCCTGATTTCTAATATGAGGCTGACCATTATTTCTTAAGTTCCTGGTCATTCATGATTCCTCTTTTGTAAAATCGAGTCATTTCAAGTCCTTTGTCCATTTTTCTTTTCTTCTGGATTGTTTTCTTGGGGTGCAGGGTGGGTAAGAGTTTTTAATACTTTTGGTATACAACCATTTTGAATATTTTTGTTTTGCAAATACATTTTCACATCTGTGGTTTTTTATTTCTTTTACAGTTTATTTTAATGAGCATAACTTCTCATTATAATACAGTCAACTTTGTCTACAATTTAATAGGGTCATTTTAATATCTTATTTAATATATATTTCTTAAGACAGAGAGAGTGTCTTATGTGGTCTTCTCAATGTTTTATTGCTTTGATTTTCACATTTAAATCTTTAATTCATTTAGCATTAAGTGAACTCGCCTTATTCATTTAATTTCTGATATAAGCTGTTGAGTAAGGAATCCAATTTCTTTTTTTCTGAATGAAAACTAATAGCCCAAATCTAGTTAGTAAAAAATATACCCTTTCCACAAGGATCTCAATACTATCTCTGTTTTAAACTAGTTTTCTATAATGTCAGGGATATGTTTCTTTACATTTCTTTCTGTTCCAATGGTCCATTTATCTGTTTCTGAACAAATATATACCATCTTTATCAGTCTTGATAGCTGATATTGAATCTTAAGTTATTAATCTTTTTCTTCAGAATTCTGGCTATTCTCAGGCTTTTCTTCTCAATATAAAATTTTAAATTAATTTTCCAAGTTTTATGAAAACACTCATTGGGGTTTTGAAATTTACATATTTATAATATTGAGGTTTAAATTCACAAAAGTGATATGTCTCTCTATATAATTTTCTTTAATATCTTTCAGTAAAATTGTATTATTTTTTCCATTACAATCTGACAAATCTTATGTTATACCTATTCTTGAGTACCTAATATTTCTTAGAGATATTATAAAGAGCATATTATTATTATCATATTTTCTTCTTCCCTGTTGCCTGTGCTTAGAAAAGTAATTGGTTTTTATATTCGATTTTGCTTCCAGAAACATTGCTAAATGTTATGCTCCATATGTATGTATTTTTTTGCAATCTTTATGCCTTTCACTTATTTTTCTTGTCTTATTGCCTAAGACACAAAATAGAATAAAAGCAGTGCTAGAAGTTAGCCTTGTCTTTTATGATGTGAAAGGGAACATCATCTATAATGTTTCGCTATTAAAATATTTTTAAGTATTTTGTTTAGATCTTATTTATTAAAGAGTTATTTTTTATTCCTAACTTACTAATTTCTTTTTTTTTTTTGCCAATGTTGAATTACATCAAGAGCTTTTATGACTCTATTGAGATAATATAGTTTTTCTCATTTAAACTTTTTATATTAAAAACTAATATAACAGACTTTCTAATGTTAAACAAGACTTGCATTGCTGGAATAAGCTCAAATTATTTAAGATATATTAACCTTTTGGTATATTCCCAGTATTTTTTGCTAGTATCATATATAGAATTTTTGGATTCTTGCTCATGAATAAGATGGTTCTATACATTTTCTTTCTCTTTCTGTCCTCATCGGGTTTTACTATGCAAGATGAACAGTCTTCTAGAATTTTGGGGGGAGATGTTTTCTCTTTCTGTTTAGTATTCTCTAAGTTATTTTGAGTAAGATCAAAGCATTGCCTTCTTGGATGTTTGATAAAACTTGTCTATAAGACTGTCTGGATTTAGCTTTTGATTTAGGGAAAGTTTTTAATTATTGATTCAATTTCTTTGTGTTAGCATAATTCAGTTGTTTACATTCTGTACAAATAGTTGTGATTAGCCACATATAACTACAATTTTTTCTGTGTTTTTTAACCTTTCCAATTATCTTGGTCATATGATTCTCTTATTTCTTTGTAATCTTTGCTACATCTCTAGTTATAACTTCGTTTTCATTTTTGGTCTCTCTCATTTTACTTGACCAAGCCTGCCAGAGGTTTTTTTTTGTTTTATTAGATTTTTTAAAACAAGAATTTGATTTAATAATTTTTGTCTTGTTTGTTTTTCGCTAAATTTATTTCTGGTTAGGTTTGTCTTTGTTTTCTGCTGTTTATTCTCATTTTTTATGGGGGTGGCTTACTCTGTTCTCTTTCAAATCCTTTAAGATGGGATCATGTGGTGAATTTTATTATTATTTGTAATCATTCACGTCACCCTTTTACATAAAAGGACTACTTATCTGCCCACTGATTTTGATATAAATTCTATAACTTGCTGTGGAAAATGGAATATGAACAGAATGCCAGTTCTTTTACTGCTGATTCTGAGTGGAAGCTTTAAGAGACATGTGAATAACTGGCATAGAGGCTGGACTTCCAGCTCCAGAATGGGAAGGCATCAGAGCCCAGCCTAGCTTATTTGAAGCCTCTGCTGAACTGTAGCTGACCCGAGATTCTGTGTAACATGAGCAAGAAATCAATTTTTATTGGTAGGAGTACTAAGCTTTTGAGCCTATTTGTTACTATAGCAAAGCTGACTGAAAGAGATATTAGTATTTTAACATGAGATGCTCCTATAACAAAAAACTGCAAGTCTGTATTGACCTTAGGACCAAAAGACATATTATAAAAGAAAACTGCTATTGGAGGCTGAAAAAACGATGACCCATAGCATGCAGTGACAAAGCATTTGGCAAAGCTGCAATAACTTAGAAAGCAGATAATTTACCTAACGAATGAGTAGCTTTCAGGGAAGAGATGTCAAAACAGAATGTTACTACTCTGGCTTGGTTATTTTTTCTCCCAGAATTGTCAGATGAACTCAGAAAAGAATTGGGCTGCTTCGCCAACAGGGAAGAAGGAAAAATGAGAGCGACCAAGAATTGTAGGGATTGCAGAGTTGAGAAACAGAACTGTTTCAATTAGTAAAAGATAAATGGAAGTGCTTTGAGCAACAGAGGGATCATTGAGGTTTAGATAAAGATACATGTCCAAATAATGGTTATTGCCATTCATAATCTTTGATAAAAACACTGGCTAGTTCTGCACATTGTTAAAGCATGGAGTTGTGGCCATGGTCTAGCCAATGAACTCACAAGTTGGTAGTATGCTACATGAAGGGCAAGTTTTTCACCAACACCACAAACATCTCTGGCCTAATGAGTGGAGGTTGACAGTAATCCTTGAACAAGGGAAAGACAAAACAAAACAAAAAGAAATGCTGAATAGTTAAGGTGATCCCTAGAAAATTATGTTAGTTGGATAAAAGGGCTTAGCAAATAAGCGGTGCCCACAGTCTCCTTGAAGCCTGGTGGCTCAAGTTATCTGTAAGTCTAGAGAGAAAGACATATCTCAAAAAAACAAAACAAACAAACAAACAAAACCCCAAAAACACAAGAGTGGGCAGGGAGGGCTGTTTGCACATGTTTCTGATTGAAATCAAATAATTTTCTAAAACCCACATTTATGAGAGTGTTTTTTGTCAAAAGTTTCAATTAAACAAGATTAACTGGATTAAAGAGAATAACTATTAAGACATAAAACATCTTCTACAAGGACAGAGCAGGCTTAGCAAGCTGCTCAGCTCCCAATGCTGCATATTATCCAATGCTGTGATGAGAGGTGGCCAAGGAGTATAACAGAAAAAGACTCGGGCTTTTCCAGAAAAAGAAACCTAGGGAAACAATGATCTGAGCAAAATACAGGCCTAATCAAGTAACATTTCTTATCCTCTTTCCAATGAGAGTGTTGTTTGTTCCAGTCATCACTCACTGTCCCATGAATGTATATTTGAAGAAAGTGACCTTTTATTTGATCTTCAGATCTTCACCTGATGGAAAGATTATCATGAGACCCTAGGTTTTGAGCTTTGTGCCGAGATGGGGTGAGATATTCAAGGTTTTGTTATTAGAGGTGGGGGTGAATATCTTTGAATGCAGAAGGAAGGAAAAAGAATATTTTTGATCAAGATAGCACACAGTAGTGTATTTCCTTGAAACATATCTCATCCTGTTGACTTCGGGCTTGAGCCTGGACTTAACATTGGTAACAACGATGAAAGGAACACTTAATGAAAGGCACAGTGTGTTAGGGAACAAATGAGAAATCAGCCAGAATACCCCAAATAGAGGAAGGATGGTAAGGATCTACAAGTTTGGAACCAAAATTTGTCTCAGCTCTTAAGAAAATGATCACTTTAGATTCACTGATTGAAATGTGAATTAATCAGGAATACAAATAAGATTACCAGTGAGTACATCCGTTTCGTAGGGGAAAGAATGGTTGGATGCTTCCGGTGTTTTTACACCTGCCAATGTTGTAAGGTTTCCTCCAGGCGATTACACAAGTTTTCTTTCCTTTCAGTCAAGATAACATTATGCAGGCCCTGTTAGTCAGACAATAACCACTCATACACATCATTTTCAAAGCTGTTAGAATTTCCTCATAACTTCTGATGTCATAAAGTGGGAAATGAGAAATTTAACTTTTATAATCTCATAGGTTTTCAGGAGCTAACTTCCTGATGATTTTTCAAGTTTCCTTCTTTATTAAGAGAAAGACAGGTTTATGTTAGAGGTAAATAAAATTCAGGTATAATTCAAACATTTTTAGGTACAAGTTACAAAATCTCTCTCTCTCTCTCATATTTTCATTTAATGTTGTGATGAGAGATTTAGATATTTCCCCTTGGTATATCACTCTAGAAAACTTCAATGGGAACCTGCATCGCACTTCTAATCTAGAACAAGTGTCAAAAATAATTTTCAGAAAGTGAACAGCTGACTCACTTCTGTGGAAGAGTGTGTTTAATTATTTTACTAGATAAAACAAATTATAATTAGAAATGCTCTTGAAATAAAAATGGCTGACAGGTTAATTGTTTAATGCTTTTGACGCATTTTACCTCTTTTAAAGAATTACTACATTCACTTACCATAGTCCCCTCTATTTCACAGAGCGTGTTCCAAGACTCCAGTGGGTGTCTGAAACAGAGGAGAGTCCCAACTCTACGTATACTACATTTTTTTTCTTATGATACATACTTATGATAAAATTTAATTGATAAGTTAAGCAAAGTAAGAGATTAACAATGATAACTAATAATAAAATAGAACAAGAATAACCATATACTGTAATAAAAGTTATGTGATTGTAGCCTCTTGCTCTCTCTAATAACTGACTGATAACCAAGAAGGCTACTAAGTGACTAACAGATGGATAGTGTATATTCAGCATGGATACACTGGATGAAAAGATGATTCACATCCTGGGCTGGACGAAGTAGCATAGTGTGAGATTTCGTCATGCTAGTCAGAACTGTGCATAAGTTAAAACTTATGAATTGTTCATTTCTGGAATTTTCCATGCAATATTTTCAGATCATAGTTGACTATGAGTAACTGATAACATAGAAAATGAAACCACAGATAAGGGGGGAACTATCATAGTTATCAATGCCCTAAGAGACATTTACTGAACACTCAATAGGTAAAAGCTACTGTGATTGTAAAAAAAAAATCACTGTGTCTTCAAGAAATGTACAAGCTATAGACATTGTTTTTTTGCCCTAGAAACTATTGATAGACTTGTCATTGAATTAAAGATTATTTTATTTAAATCTCTACTTCAGATATCACATATCATTAATAATGATCTATATTGTTTACAAATGCCCTTTCCAATAGAAATATGAGCCACATATTTAATTTAAAATCTTCTAGTAGTAACATTTTAAAAAGTAAAAAGAAACAATAAAAATTAACAATACATTTTATTTGACAAAATATACCCAAATATTATTATTTAAATATGTAACCAATATAAAAATATTCATGAGATAGTTTATAATTTTTGTTGTACTACATCTGAAATTCAGTGTGCATTTTACACTTAAAGTACCTCTCAGTTTGAACTAGCTACATTTCAAGTATTCAGTAGCTACATATAGCTAATGGCTAGCATATTGGATAGCTCAGATTAAAACATAAATGAATTGTTAAATATTTATATTGTTTATAACACAGGTAGGGAGGAAGAAAAATTAGTGATCAAAACAACAGTTTATTAAAGTTAGAGAAGTTTATACATTTAACTTCTAAATAAACTTGAGAACAATAACAACAAAAGTAAAGGCTGTGTATAAAATTCAAGTTCAGGTTCACAAATAAACAGAGATCCCTTTAAGAAACTGTTTGATAAATTATTTTTCCTATTTATATGGGACTACATTTGTTTTTAATTTACGTCAATGTGTTTTAAATTGTCTTGTTTACAGGGTGGGGAGTCCTTAATATAATAAGTCACCACAATAGCAAATGCAATGACTTTTTGGCCTTGCAGAGAGGAAATCCTATATTATATGGGGCTGCTGGACTTCAGGGTGGGTGGGGCCCTGTTATTCTGCAGAACAAGCCAGTCAAATGAATCAAGGCTTAATTCAGAGCCAAAATGAAAATAACTACTGTTTGAGTTGAACTTTATGAGTTCTGAGAATGGGGCACGCATTTCATCAGTTCACAAACTACATATGTTGAGCACTTGACATATTCAATGCACTTTGTTATTCTCTGGGATTCATAGTTTTATAAACTAATTATGCAAACCAGTATGTAATCCTCAACTCATCCAAGTATTCCAGAACTTTGTCAGGTTTTGTTGTTGTTGTTTGGTTGTTGCTGTTGTTCTTGTTGTTGTTTTTTAGGGCTAACTCAAAGAATAAATCAAGTCCTTTTATGGTAATGAGCACATCAGCCTGTAATGAATGCAGAATTATTGGGAAAGGAGTATACAGCAGTAAAGAAAATGTAATTCTCTGATCTCTGTGCTGTGAATTTTTAAGCAAGTCAGTCTGATAACGAAATATAAGAGAAAGTACTAGAAGGCATGACAGAGGGGTAAAACCCAGGGACATTGATTTATGTGAGCCATGTAAAAAAGGAAGATTTAAAATAAGATTGAGCTTTGAACAGTCACAGAGCACCCTTGGGCACTCTTACCCACATCTTGAAGTTGACTTGAGCCAGTCTTTTTGCGCTCAAAATACTGTCATCATTACTTTGTTATCATTATTCTATACTTTATGCATTCAGTGTAAGATTTAATATTCAATCTTATAAAAACAAAACAAAATAAAATAAAAAACAGTTCCCAAACTACATCTAGGTCTTTTGAAACACAACCAAAAATTCATTTGCCAACCGTCCTTCAGAGGCTAGCTGCTCATAGATTCAAGAATGTCCTTTGTAGATCAAAGATTCAATTTGTTCTTATTTTGCAATAACAGTAAGTCATACTCTGTGATGGGATCATGGTACAACAGTGCTAAATTCTACTGCGTCCTGAATAGAGCTGAGTGTGGGATAATCAACCATGTGGTCTTCATAGAGCCCTAAATGAATGCCAAAACACAGAGGTTATATGCTGAGCAGTGTAAGATAAAGGCTATCATCTCACCCGTGCAGTAGTCTCCCAGGTTTCTATGACACATTAGGAGTGTTTGGATTGTTATCATTAATGATATGAAAAAAAACAAACTAACCAACTAAAACTGCATAGTACATGGTGTCTTCTCAAATTCCATGCAGTTTGCAGTGAGCCCAGTTTTACATGTTCCTGCTAGCCCCTCTTACTAATTATTCATTAAGCTTATTTCCCAACAGACTTCTCATTTTCATAACCTATTTTCCTTTTCACCTTTCCACCACTCTGTTCTAGTTTTCAATATTTTTTTCCTTTCTTACTCCCTAATACAAAAGTACATTATGTCCCTAGATAGCACATTTTTTATATTCAGGTTAATATTATTAGACTAAAACGTTCCTCTACACCACCATTGGTCCCTGAAGCAATCCTGAAATAGCAATCCATTTAAAGCAGACCTCCAGTCTGGATGCAAAGGCACAGATCCCTCAGTTATAAAAGGGGTACAGATTTCATTATAAATCCTATTCATATTATTCATTCAGAGGCTATGAGACCCTTGCTTAAGTATATCTATCATTTCAGAGACCATATAGCCAAAAAAATAATCTCTTCCTTTACGTTTATAGTAAATTAAGTACTTGAAGGAGGTTACAGCCCAGGACAGGAAATCTTGTTCTCAGGTACAAGCCTCTCCAACTTAATATTGTAAGATCATCAGCAATTTTTTCAACTTCTCTAAGCCTCTATTTCTTCCTCTGTAAAGTGGGAAT